ACATACAAGTGGAACCAACAGAATTCAAATATTTGTGAGCCCAGACCCATTTGCATCTAAACTTTTTAACCAACCAAAACAAAAGAGCAGTAAAAATGTTTAACAATATTATATTGAACATTTTACGTGAGAATCGTGTACCTACAAAGCAAGGAAACAAAACAAAGTGAACAGAAGAGTAAAGAAAATTATATACATTCTATATTTTTTGCAAAGTCAACTTGTAAAAATGGAAAACAAAAATTTAAACTAACTAGAGCCAGCAAGTAAAACCAGACATTTTTAAAGGAAACAGACTATAACAACATTTTTTAATTGAGAATACATACCAAAAAGTGAAACTCTCGAACTACAAAATATTTGCATATACGAGTAAATCTTTTATATGTACATATATACATATATTTTGCGTCTTAATATACAGCTGACAACGTATTTATATATTTACACTCAACAAGGACACACACACACACACACACACACACACACCTATCGTCACACACAAGATTTACCTGTCGACATATGATACAACAGATACAACAGAATACATATAGAAATATATATTAAAAACAAAAGAATACAGGAAACAAATTCACAAATTGCAACTCGGTTCGCTTTTTTGCTTCATAGAACTCTGATTTAATGCTAAGTTCGATAGAAACGATCATAATTGTGTGTACTAGACATTGACATTGACGATTCGAATACATTTCTCATGCCTATATAAAGGAGCACATTTCGTGCCATCTATATCTAAATGTATCTTCATAAATGTATAAATGTATCAATCCACAATCCCACTTAAAATAAAAAATGAAAAAAATAAGGAACATTCACTTTCACTCCGTGTGCATCCATCAAACTAATCATAATTGTCATGATATCATTGGCAAAATGCATACTAACGTATTTTAGGCAGATGAAATAGAGAAACTACACGAAAATATATATATTAAACTTCTTCAAAATCATTTAAATGTTAAATGTATATGTTAATTTTAAACAATAAACCAAAATATACAAAAAACAAAAAAAAAATGTGAAGAATTTGGAAAACAAAGATATTTAAAAAACAAGTACATAGATAAGAAAACCAAACGAAATGAAAATTCTATGATATAATAAAATAAAAACAAGAGAAAAATGATACTTTAAATATTGAGTGAAATTTGGTTTTTATTTGTGTGATTGGGTGGACTCTTCAGGCATAGTTATTAAAGTAAAAAATCTTTTCATAAAAGGGCGTTGCAGCTGAGATTCACATTTAAATTGTAAGAATGGCGCCATTATTGATTAACCTTAAATTAATCGATATATCGTTATACTTCGTGCTAGTTTTGTAGCACTCAGCTTTGTCCTGCATGATACATTCACAGTGTGGCAACTCCAAGCACTTGGCCCTGAGAATTTTTACATCAACCAAACAACAATATTCGTAGAACGCAAATAAAATAAAAATACTGACACGAAAATTACTTTCATATTTCGCTAGATTGCCATCTTATACTTTGAGTGCAAACACACGCAAAATGAGTGACAGCGAGGAGAATGACAGCCAAAGCGAGCACAACAAAATCGGGCTGCCCACAAAGCCGTCGACGTCGAAGTCGAAGTCGACGTCAACAGCAACAGAACCAGAAACTGATTCCGACAGCCAAAGCGATGAAGGTTTTATAGATTTCCAAGTAATTGTTGAATTTGTTGTCAGATAATTCATTTTCAGACAATGGCACAATGGATATGATTCGTCGGTTTTTTTCACAGACTTTTAACTTGGCATCAGGCACCCTTGCAGACAACGAAGGCATAACTGTGGATAAGGTGAGCTTTATCCATTCTATATGCAGATTACTTATGAACCAATTAAGGTAATACCGGAACTGACCTTTGAGGGTCTCTCGTCACACTGGCGCGAACATGGGTTCAAGAACATTGTGACTATGGTGGGTGCTGGTATCTCCACGTGTGAGTTGTTATTTTTTAGAAGTCTTGGTTGAAGGTGTTAATTACTTGACATATACATAATAAAAATTCCACAGCTGCTGGTATTCCGGACTTTCGCTCACCTGGCTCTGGCCTGTACAACAACCTGAAGAAGTACAAGTTGCCGCACCCAACAGCTATTTTTGACGTGGACTACTTCCAAAAGAATCCAACTCCATTCTTTGCACTGGCCAAGGAACTCTATCCGGGCTCGTTTGAGCCAACTCCGGCGCATTACTTTGTGCGCCTGTTGCACGAGAAGGGTCTGCTCCAGCGCCACTATACGCAGAACATCGATACACTGGACCGCTTGGCCGGTTTGCCTGAGAACAAGATAATTGAGGCTCATGGCAGCTTTTATACAAACCATTGTCTCAAATGCAAGCATGAGTACGATATGGCTTGGATGAAGAAGAAGATATTCGCAGATGAGCTACCCAGCTGCGAGGAGTGCAATGGGCTTGTAAAGCCGGACATAGTATTTTTCGGCGAAAACTTGCCTGCTAACTTCTACAACAGCCCTGAGGAGGATTTCAAGGAATGCGATTTGCTTATTATCATGGGCACTTCGCTAGAGGTGCAGCCCTTTGCTTCGCTCATCCATCGCGCTGGTCCGCGTTGCATTCGCTTGTTGATTAACCGTGATGCTGTTGGACGCGCTAGCTTTGCGCCCTGGATGGATCCCAGCGGAAAAGCGCTGCTCTATGGCAAGCCTAAGAATACGCGCGATGTGGCTTTTCTCGGCGACTGCGATGCTGGCGTCTGGGAATTAGTCGAAGCACTTGGCTGGGAAGAGGAACTGCAGCAGCTGATCAGCGATGGACAAAAGGATATGGAGGAGGAGGACAACAAATCTGGCTCGGATGAGGATAAGCCACAGACTTCGGTAAAGGATTGTGCCAAAAAATAGACAACGTAATGAGGCTAAATTCAACTAGTTTAACTATTTCATTACATTAGATATGGCAGATGTTAAGTGTTAAATAGGAAACTTGTTTCGAGTGCAATATTGTGTATGTATATAATTGCATAACTAGTGTGTGGGGAATGGAAAAGAATGGAATACGTATTAAGCATATTTAAATATATATTTATGTGTGTTTATCAACTGAAACTGGGCATGTGCTTCATTCGTTTTTAATTATTCAAGCGCCATTAGCGTCGCTGTTCGACATCGACCACAAAATCTGTTTTCCGTTCGGGCCAAACTTTCCGGCCTGGGCAGCCAAACCGCCAGCAAAGGTTAACTTCTCATCTCAGCCTGCTAATTGGGACCGCACATACACCCACGAACACACAAGCAAAGAGTCAGCATTGGCAACAATCACACCCACATGCACTCGTTGGCTCTGTTTGGCCCGTTGCATCAAGTTAATGACACACAATCTGTCCCAGTGCCAACCACACAAATGTATTCGGTTTCCGGCTCCGGTTGGGGCTTGCAATCGAAGCTTCTGCAATGAATTGGCCAATAGAATGTAGGTAGCTGGCAGCTGGGCTCCCGCTTTAATGGGAGCCACTCCTGTGCACTAATTAAAACCAAGCAGGGATCCAGAATAATCGAGCACTACGAGTAGTGCTGCCACTAAATCAATCGGGGGCAATGGCAACATGTCAACTTTTCCTCCACGCTGTTTTGCGGCCAAATGTGCAAATACATTAAGTAATCAGATGCAGCAGCAAGAGCAACTGCAGCGAGAACGGAAAGCACATCGGAAATGTTGATAGCCGCAATTTGTTGCAGTGGCAGCTGCATCGCATCCCTGCCGGGTTATTAAGCTAATGGATTCTCTTAACGGCTTTCCAAGTCGTGTCAGTCCAAGTGACAAAATCGTCGACTCTGATCTTATGCCCTATCGATACATTCCCCATATTTGCCTATCAATTGACCCAAATGACTTAACTTGGCGTAAGTTTTCTCAAGTTTCAACTACGTCTCAGTGTGTGCGTAAGTGTGTGCAATGTGTGCACACAATTCTGTTTCGGCATACTATTAAATGCATTCCGCACACGCACACACAATTGATGACGCTTGAGTCAATGCACAGTGTAGCGAAAACTATTTGCGTGGACTTACATATTGTATATAAGTATAACTACTTTTTAAGTGGATCGCAGTCCATTGAATTTAAATAAATAACTTTAACTAAGGTATTGATCGTTTCTGACGAATCGAAGACGTAGCCACACTCTCCAAAATTTGCACTTGCGCCGAATGACTAGAGGTGACTGGTACGTCGGAAACTCAACCTTGCATCCCAGAATGGCGACTAAAGACAGCCAAGTCGGAGCATTCTCCAACCGGTACAACAAACGCTTGCTGCGACACTGCCACCGGTAAGAGACCTCATGGGGAGGTGTGCAGTTAGGAGGCTCAAGCGAAGATCGTTTAAGGAACCTTCTCCAAATACGGACAGAGAACCTCTAGAGTCCCCCGACAGAACACGTGACGAGCACGAAAACTCAATCAGGCTTGGCGAAACATCATCCAAGCTTACTGTGTTGTTATAAAAATGTATGCTATTTTGAGAAAATACATCTTAATTGGTTTTTCACTTGTTAATGAGAATATAAAATATAAAATATATTCGAATAATTCTAACTTATGGAAGACAAATTATTCTAACAATATAATGAAATGGAAAATAGAAAATAAAAGAAATCTTAAAATGCGTAACAGATGTTATCTGTGATTTCTGCTATAAGTAATATTTTAGTGACTGTTAAGGAATTCAATAGTTTTATAGAAATCAATAAAAAAATCTTCAGAAGTCAATAATAAAATTCTTAAAGCATAAAGGTTTAGAAATACTTTTGCAATGCATTGTCGTTCTTAAATGAGAATCCCAAATTTTGAAATAATTCGAACTGTTGATAAACATATTTTCTTTCACAAAATAATATAATAGCTAAAATTGTATCTGTTATATCTGATATCTGCTATATTATCGACATTTCTAAACATTTCCAATTCCGAAAAATGCACAATTCTGGACTCTTTAGATTACTGTGTCCACTGTTCTATAATAAGTTTATTGTATTAAATTATATCTTGTTGTATGTGTGTGTGCTTATATTGTCAAAAAGCTTGTTTACAATTGATTTAGACCCACAATGCGTTATTAGTTGTGTGTGAGTGTGCTTGCTGCTTCACATTTGCAATCAAAACGCGGGTAGCCCCCTGGCCAGCCCCTCTGCCAACTACAAGCCAGTTCATCAATGGCACCGCAACATGGGGTTTGGGGCCTGTTTGTTGCGTTCCTCGGTGTCATCAGCGACAGCTGTGCGCGCATTTTGATATTGAATTCTTGACATGATTGCAGGGCCACAGCTTGTTGTGCCCGCCATTTAAATGAACATATCGTAGTTACACACACTCGGGTTAGCATTTTAAAATCGCAGCTACACATAGCTCATGCGTGCCGTGCGCTAATAAACTGTTGAAAGGGTGGGCCAGGGGCCAATTGTTTGCGCAAATAGATATCTATAAGTATAGATAAATATATAATATGTGAGAGGGTTCTACATATTTATAGGCATTATTCTAAAATGGGCGGTAAAATGTTGTCATCGCTGCGTAAACGAAATCTTTATGAATATTTTATTATTGCTTTAATAAAAAAAAAGAAAAAAAAGGGAGTAGAAATGAAAAGGAATAGCAGCAGCACCCCAGACGAGCAAATGGCAAGAGAGCAGCGTTCTGAAAAGCAATTTGTGTCAATAAATATATATGTATACAAATGTGTGTGTGAGCGTGTGTGTGACCGTTTAGCATTTCACATGTGTTGGTGTTTCATATTTGTTGTTGCTTGATATTTGGTATAATATCAGCATCAACTACAACAACAACAACAACAACAACAACATACATCCACAGCAGCCACAACATAATCGTCATAATCATTTTATGCGCATATTTTGTAGCATACTTTTGTGGTCATAAATTTTTATTTACGTCGCCCGCAATGCTCCAAGTGTCATATATACTGAGGGTTGTGTGCATGCGTGATTGTGTGTGTGCGTGTGTGTGTGTGTGTGGATTTGCTGCTGCTTTGTATAGAGAAATTAAAGTGTGATAAGCTTGGTTTATTTTCATGCCTCGTGTTTTACAAGCACCTTAAAATGTCCTGCAACACATGAAGAAATGCATGAGTGTGGCGTGTTTATGTTGTGTGTGTGGGTGTGTAGTACAGCATACAATCGAATCAAGCGGCCAACAAATTCAGAATTTTAATCGCTGTTTTTCGATATTGACAGTTGTCAGTTCGTCCATTTCTGTGTGTATGTGTCTGCGGGTGTCAGCCTATTTGTGGGCGTGTTTAGGGCGTGTTTAGGGCTTTAGCCACACTAGCAAATTGGCGGTTTTGTTGGCTACAAATGAGCAGTGCGGCTTATGCGGTGGCCTAAAATAAATTCTGCTTGCGGCTATTTGATGAACAATTGTTATATGAATTGTGTTTGCGAAATAAAACAATTAAAAGATCAGCGGGTTAGCCGGATTTTAGGCAACCCGTCACCAAAAACTAGCTGACCCCCACTCAAATAAAAATCAAAAAAAAAAATCTGGCCATTAATTAACTGAGCGCAGTAGTGAAGTGTAACGAATTGGAAAACCAAATAATTCCCATTGATTTTGTTCGTTTCAATCACGTTTGACACAACCACATAAACAGACACACACACACACACACACACGGACAGACTCGCACTGAACGCGCACTCGTAGGCACCCACAGCGACCGCATGTGCATTGATTTGCTGCGGAAAATCTCTGACAGCGATGGAAACTAGCTGCATTGGACGCACTAGTCCATTGATTGCCAAAGCCAATCGGATATGAATAAATGAACGCCAGTTTTGTGTGTCACCAGAGCTCTGATCCCAAACAAGAGCCGATGTCCACAGGTTTATTTGATCTCGTTCGGCGTGGCAGGGGGCAGGTTTGGTGGCGAGGGTGTGGCACAGCACGCAATGCAATTGGTTGCATTTAATTGTTGCACAGCGTGCACGGCTGGAACAAAAGGATTTACGCTTTGTACTCAACAATGAGTTTGAAAAAAGATTTCTAAATTAAAAACGGGTCAAATAAAACAGACATCACGAAATAGACTCTGCATAGACCGAAGGTTATAGAAATCGTTTTCAATACCTTTAATTTGTTTTTCATTTCAATTTAGCTGCTCGCTGATGAGTTTTTAGCAGAAATATACTTTTTTTTTTTAAAAAATGGTTTTTTCACATCGACCCAAATATGATTAAATTCATAGCAATCAATGTGTATAAAACCTGACCGACTGCTTTTAAGGTAGAATGTGTGGATTTTAATATTTCTGCTGATTTTCCTGATATAACTTTACCTTTGCTATAAAGCAATTGATGTCCGATCTTGGAAATCCATTCTTTTCGATTTGCAAATCGATTAAAAGTGATTCATGATCATGGGTTGACGATTTTTCCCTTGCCAATTGCCGTGATACATATTTTAATTTAACTTGGATATAAAGTAAATAAGTTCCAATCTAGGAATGATATAATTTTCCACTCGTGAAACGATTAGATGTGAATGAACTAAAAAATAGCATATTTCAGAATTTCTCCAGAATTGTGATAAAAATGGGATGAATATTTAGCATATAATATTACAAATCCCAAGCCAAAGTATTGAACTAAAATATTCGAAGATAGACTCCATTCCCGAGTTGCAGTAAATTTAATTTTAAAATAATGTTGATTTCAGTTATCGCTAAAATTGCCAATTTTTAAAAGTTTGGTCAATATTATAAATTTAATTATACTCTTGTAAAAGATAAAATAATTTTGTCATGAAACTTGTAACGCATAGAAGAAGACATCTACGACCCCATAAAGTATATGTAATCGAGATCAGCATTAACAGGCGAGTTGATATAATCATGTCTGCCTGTCTGGTTATATGAGAACTAGTTCCTTTAATTTTAAAGATATTGTCTTGAAACTTTGCATCGGGCCACTATAACATAAAACTGCCATGGGAACCATCTATCGAAAAGTATGATTTGGTATGGAAACCAAAGACGGGATTTATTAGTTGCATTAGGATCCTTGTATATATGCACATCCTGATAGCTTCCATAGGAATGAACGATCGGGAAAAAGGTTCTTATATGGTAAAATATTCTGTTTTCCAAGATATTTTCATCAAATTTATCACATATCTGCAAAAGGGAAATGTCTAAAGGGGTGTTAAATGCTTGGCGTGCCGAAGATCTTCCAAATTTCTCGCTTGAGTACAAAATGCGTGTTCCGATCTGTACAAATAATTATTCGGAGATCGGACATTGTTTACAAAAAATAATACAATTTTAAAATTTATATTCATACATATATATTTATATACATGTTCACTTAACTAATTTTAAATGGGGTTTAATTTAAGTATATTGTTTTTTTTTTCCGACGGGTGGAAAAATCCGGACAATACCCGCTAGTATTTAATATTTATAGCTTGAGGTAAGTTATGACATGACTTGATAAATAAAATAAATAATACACGTGCGCAAAGTAAATTACAGAATATCAGGATTTTAGAGTTTCAAAAAAAAAAGGAATTTAAATAAATAATAGTTGTTGCATTTATATATATTAATCAGCTCGGCGCTCATCGGAACATGTAGAAAAAGCGATTTGCAAAAACAATTATCAATATTTAATTTGTTGGTGGTTTTGCAATTGCAGTGCAAATGTAAATAATATATGAAAATGTGGTTTAGACAGATAATACCTATGCACATACCAAAAAACACATTGCTTTGGGCAGCTAAAAAAGGAACAACAAAATGAATGCAACTTTGTTGTCAAACTATTTAATAGTGAATATGTAACTTTTGCTTTTCTCTATTTAATATTTTAAATGTTCAGTTGCAAAACGGAAATTGTTCTTGTTGGTTTTCATTTTGTTATTTTTTCTAGTTTTGTGATTTTTGTGCACGTATCAGCGATAAGTCAGCCATTTAATGCTTGACAACATTAAAATTAAAAGCATTTAATTAATGAAATAATTTAGCAAACAGAAAACCATTTCGAACGCCGAAAAGGTAGCAGCCAGTGTCTTGCAACACGAAACATTTCCTTCGTTTTGGCCACGTTTAACTTCAATTTGGTGCTGCATAGTTAACGGCAGGATGTGAGCGTCTTGCATCGCCTCCTTTTGCTCGCCTTATCGCCGTGTCGACATTGGTAATTTAGAGGTAGGCAGAGAGAGGGAGAGAGGGCCGACTAAGAGAGAGCTAGGCAGACATTGGGTAGTTAGAGGAAACAGCATTACAAATGCCTGCCAGCTAGCACGAGCATTTTGTATTGCATTTTCGATTTGCACTTTACACGCTTTCATTACACTTCGTTTCCGGTGCAAAACACTTGACCGCTCCCAAAGCCCGCAGGGCCATTGCATTGTTAGTATTTAAGCTGCTGCTGCTGTTGGTGCTTCAACTTGCAACTTCAGCTGAATTGCACACTTGAGCGACTGGCGATTATCAACAATATCCAAATGCCACATTTCGTTGCCAGTCCAGAATGCCAGAATGTCCAACTGAGACTGTGTCATAATCACCAAAATTATGTTGCATTTCATGAGCGTCACGTTCAAAGCTTAGCGTCAAGACTTCAAGTAGCAGCCTCCGCCCCTTTTGCTCCGGGGAACGACATCAGCTAGCGAACTGCATTGCATTGATGCTTTAAGCTGCAATTTCGTTAAAAACAAAATTTCCAATCGATTTTGCTGGTTTATCGCCAAGTTTATTTTCCTTTTGCTGTTGTTTCTGTTGTTGTTTGGCTTGCTTCCACTTCTTGTTGCAGCTATGTTTGCTGCGTATTTCAAGTCGTTGCACCGTGGTTACAAACAAGGCTGCAAGCCTCCGAAAAAAATAATCAGTGATATGGCTTACGGTTTGAATCGGCTTCCTGCTTTCTGGTGCGGTTTGTGAACTTATTTTTTCACATTAATGAGGCAAGGTTTTAGCTCAAAGCCAGATTTGTCATATTATTTTTTAACTGCTTCTCAAAACAATTCAATTTTTAATTTATATATGCCCGTTCTATTGAAAATATTGCAAGCTGTACATATTTTTTTGCGGGCTGAAGTTGATCTCTACTCAAATTTGGCATCTACCAAAGATGTTTAGATAAATCCAATGGCACCAAGCTATTTATGCTATTGGACTGAGCCTCCCTCAAAATTTGTATGTTGAACCGAACTAAGTTTGGAAAAGGTGTTTCGGCTCGAGTTTCTGTTCAGCTGTATTTTGAGCAACTAAAATAAGATTAAAGCTAAAATAGAATTTTGCGCTCGAACCGGCTCGGCTCAAACCTGGTTTGCAGCTCGGATACAGATTCATAAAGAGGCCAGTTATTTTAGCACATATAAACCCTAGTCATATAGCGACATAAATGACATACTTTTCAATTCGACTTAAACCAGTGTGGTACTTATGCACATGTATGTGTGTGGCATATTCCTTTAGCAGAACTTACGGAAATGAAATGTGTTTCTATTTTAGTTTTATTTCTCTGTGTGTACATTTACACGCTCGAGTGTTTGCATCCGAACCACAAAATGCGAGCAACTACAAAACCAGCGAAAAAACTACAAACAAAAATACAGCACTCAAATACCCGTAATACTCAAGTCTATTTACAAATCATGGCAAAAATGCAATTTGCAATGTCCAAAAAAAGGTGAAGTGAACAAATTCTCTCAGCTGCAGTCGGACAGTCAAGTAAATATGACGTACGGCTTCAGTTGGCAAATATTTGCGCATATTACGTATACGACCCGCTGCTACAGAAATTGCTTCATATGTGCGTCCCTCTGGTTGCCCAACCGCTGCTTCTCATCATTTGCGCAGCCAATTTGCATAATTGTGGGGGAAATATTGTAACAAAATGCTTAGGCCTTGCAATTTATTTTGTTTTATGTATACTGCAGAGGATTCATGATGTCCTTTCAAGGACAAACGGCAATACGTGCCGTTGGCTGTGCGAAAATTTGACGTGCCAGCTAATTAAAATGTAAATACTGTCGCATTTCTATGCATTGCTTTGTTTTGTCCGTGTGTGTGTGTGTGAGTGTGTGTGGTCTTTTGCATTATGTGTCTGCAGTTATGCATATGTCATGCGATATCTGTCACATTGTATAAATCTTCCTCTGAGCGTGATGGACTGCGATTGTTTTGAATAATTTTGCAATGATGTGTCAGTTATTGGTACGAATGAAAAATATGTCAGAAAGTTAATAAAACTCACCAGGCTGCTGACTGGAAAGCCTTCCAAGTTTCTTATTATGAGTGGCAACAAAATACATTGATGTAGTTCTCGGTAGATTAGCTGTCAAAGTGACCCAGTCATTCAGTAAACCGACCAACGAGCGTCTGGATGTGAAGTACAGGTCAGGTATTCTCTAAGCCGAACATTTTTTCAAAAGATTTTGACAGTTTTTCAGTAGCCTTGACCTATTTATAGCGTGTGCTTACTTTGCTGGCCTTCGCCAGGATTTTTAGGGGTCAACCTCAAACTTATCCGTATTAAATGAATGTATACATATGACAGTAAAGAACACATGCAAAGCACACAAAGTGCCATCAAGTCAGCAGATACTCTGGGTATATCAATCGAACTAATAAAAATGTATTTAATGGAACATGAAACAAACTTCCAATCTATTAAAGTCTTGGTCTTCTTTAAGCGAAAAGAAAGAAAGAACCGCAACGGGGTTTTATGTAAAGCAAAGACGAGAAAAAAAATGTGAACAAGTACAGCACAGGGCAAATGAAAAGGGTTGTCAGCGGCAGTCTATAGCAGCTACACCCTTTAGGCCATATGTTGCAGCAGCCAGAATCCAGTCTGTGGTCGGTTTGTTGGCCAGCCTGCGGCGCTTTGAAGGCCACATGCGAATGCTACTCGATATTGGCGTGTGCGAGGTGTGTAAATTCGTTGACCAGAGCTCACCCTTCACATATGTTCACATCAATTTATACACGCTAGCTAACAGTTGCAAATGAATGTTGCCTATTTAGAGCAAATAACTAATTTAGTCGGCAGACGCTTGGCACAGTGCATACTTAATTTTTCAAATTTTTTTTTTTTTTTTGGTTTGTTCCCGGCTCTTGGCCGCAACATTTTTGGTCTGCCGCACGCCAGTCCGTATCTGGCATTGCCATCTCCAGCCTCAGTCCAGCGCATTTACTCCTTAATTGCCGTGCCCCTGTATAGTGATATGGGAATGGTAACATCTAAATGTGTGTGTGAGTGTGTGTGCGTGTGCGAGTGTGCCTTCCCAGCAGGTTACATATGCAATAATATAGCCGCCTGCTGTGCAGCCAAATGGCCAATGCGACTTCTCGACCAACTAACAGCCTCTCTTAAGCTCCGCTTCCATGCTGGAGCTTTTTTTTTTGCGTGTGTAAATCCTCTAAGCTGTTCTGGCGTTGCGAATAGCCACACGCATAGGGAGCAACCTACTCACACATATACACGCACACGTTTACCGAGCAATTGAATTGTTTCAATTGGTACTCCGTCTGGGCTCTGCTTCAGATCTCGACCCTCACACGGTTTGGTTATCCACATTCTTAATGAAAATCAATGTGTTAACTGCTCGCGTTATGTGGGGGGCATGTAAGCCACTTGTCCGTCTTGCAGTCGGCAGTTTTGATGTGGTTGTCTCCGGCTTGCTTGTTTGGTTGGCTTATTAAAATAAAATAACTTGAGAGAAATTCTGTTGCAATGCTCAGTTTGGTCTGCAATTGCTCTGTAGTTTACCTAAAACAAGCTGGAAAAATATTTAAATAAATCTTTTTATAACTAAAATAATAATAATAATAACAATAGTAATAATTGTAATAATAATTATAATAATAATAATAATAATAATTATAATAATAATAATAATAATAATAATAATAATAATAATAATAATAATAATAATAATATTAATAATAATAATATTAATAATAATAATAATAATAATAATAATAATAATAATAATAATAATAATAATAATAATAATAATAATAATAATAATAATAATAATAATAATAATAATAATAATAATAATAATAATAATAATAATAATAATAATAATAATAATAATAATAATAATAATAATAATAATAATAATAATAATAATAATAATAATAATAATAATAATAATAATAATAATAATAATAATAACAATGATAATATTGACTGTCTTAACAATTAGAATATTAATATTATCTTTTGTTTTCCTTTTTTATCTAAGTAAATCAAATTCTTTCCACACACAGTTCTCTAGCTTCTACATAAATGTTTCGAACAGAGCACACGTGTCTTCTAGAGCACATTGTTCGCATTCAAACTATTTGTGTTATACTTACTATATGCCATTTAATGCTTAAACTTTTAATTTAACTCCCCGGAACTGTTCACTTTTAATCTCTCTGTAACTTCCGCAAGAATAATTCAATGTGTTTATGTACTATTTCGATAATAAGTCAAATTGCTAGTTAGACATAAGCAAATATTCGTGCCATAAAAGATGTAATACAGGTCTGCTCATATTTAATCTGTAAACAACTTATGTGGGCCAACACAACACAACATGGGGCCATTTGATGCAAGCACTTCCGGTTAATTTGAGTGCGGCTTCAGAGCTCGAACCCTTGCCTATTTATTGGCATTGTTTGTTGGCTGGAAGGCCTAACTAAACAATATTGATATGAGCTGCGCTGCGTTGTGTATCTTTAATTAAGCTAATGCCAATGCAAACATGGCCTAAGGTAAATGAACGCCAGTTTAGCTTCGAGTGTCATTAAATTCAATTTGCCAGCCAATTATTGGTCAGCAATTTGCAGAGATGCGACTATATATAAGACCACACTACTGCAGACCTGCCCTAAAGCGCCTCAAGATGTTGCTGGTTCAGCAGTTAGTTCACCTGACCGCGCTAATCCAGATTATTGGTAAACTTGTGCCACAGTTCGCTGACTGTTTAACTTTCTGCATCTTTGAATCTGCCGCAGTGAGCCAATATTTTTCGCCACTCTCCTCGCTGCTGATCGTTCACAACAGCACGCATGCAACGCAGCTGCAGTTGGCGTACCTGGATGCACTGCAACTGGCCCTGCGTAATCTCAGCCGGCCGCTGTTGCTGCAGTGGATTGACGTAGCCGAGCTACCCGATGACGAGTCCCAGCCGGATGCCATTGAATGGCAAGTCCTGCGCGCCGTTAACGCCAGCTCGACTGAGGTGCGTTCAATGAACTTAATTGTTACCTCACAGTGGAAATGCCATACGCTTTATATTGCTAGGGTTTTATCACAGTGCTGCCGCAGACGGCGCGCTTTCTACATGCACGTTACTTTGCCACGCGCAATGCCAACGTAAGGCTCAAGGATAAACTGTATTTGTTTTTGTGTGAGCATGAAGATCCCAGGGATTTCTTAAGCATGGATATATTGCAATGTAAGTGAAAAAGCTAATCAAGAGATCTTAAATTAATTCAAGTTATCTAACCAAAGTCAATTTAAAGCTGAACTTAGCTCGTGCCCTTTGCTAATAGTAGATGTAATTTCTATATATTAATTCTCGCTTGGAGCTTTATTGTGATTCCAGGGCTCTAATACCGTATTATTAGTAAGTTGTAGTAAAGTAAACTTTCATAAGAGACTAAGTAGTATTTTTCTGTCTTGCTCGGTCTAAGTTATTTGCTACAATTCGTCAACATAAGTTCCCCATATTTAGTCCAGATTAAACTCGACGTCTCAAGACATATTTGACAAAGATGTTTTAAAATTAGTTTGAAGTTCATTGAATTAGGAACCAAAAGTTGGAATTAACGTTTTCCATCTGCTTAAATTTCGTACTAAGAAACTTAAGCCGAAAAAAAAACTTTCGCTCAAACAAACTTTTATCCGCATTTTCTATGCAAGAGGGAGTTCTGCGAAAAGTGAAAAGATCCGTGGAAATGAGTTTGAATCTGAAATGTCACATACCAAATCTTTCAACCACATTTCCACGTAGGAGTAATAGATTATTCGAAAAGTGTGTCAAATTAATTTGAATAAAGATCTTTGATAAGTTAGAGGCCGATCGGAAAGAAAGTTTTATTAAATCTTTTTTAATTTGTTCACATTTGCGATTAGAATTTTCAAAAATCCCGACTCAGTTTACATAATGTTACTATGATAAAATGTAAGCTTCATGTGCTGTGACTTAATCAGCCATCAGTCAGTCGGTTGGGACAAATAGTTTTATATATAGAAATTAGACTTTAAAAACTATGAAACACCATTCCGTGATCTTTTTAGCAACGTGAAAAAGGTCAGATGTAAAGTTATCTTCCAATTTTTTTTATCGCTCTACGCTAATCGTTTTTGGCTTAGTTTAATCTCCGAATGGAACATTTAAATTTTTGCAGCAATTGTGAAAATTGCTGTCTTTTTATTTAGTCGGAAATCAAAGGTGGACATGACGGAGATTCCCTTGGGGCAGTGACAAAAGAAGTCAAACTCGAAACTTTGTCACACACACACACACACACACACACACACACACACAGCCGCACACAAACGTGGCAAAAACAGCCACGGGGCGCATCAGTTGATCAAACTTTCAACTTTGGCACTGGCCAATAATTTCCACGCTTGACGGCGCCTTCTTCAATTGTAAACTTTTTTGTTGTTATTGGCTGGAACTTAATTTGGCTGTTGTCCTTTTGGCTTGTTCTACAATGTTCCCATGTTGTAATGCGCTTTAGTCTACCCACACCATCTGATGGTGCGGCCAGAAGAGAAGGCAAATAAAGGATGTGGCAGAGCAGACGTAGGTGGATTTGTTGGCGGCAATGGCGGGTGTGGCGGGGGCGGCTTGCCACACCCATACCGCGACATCAATTTGGAGCTGTGGACACAAAAGTTTGTCGGTGCCAGTGGAAATTCGGATGCTATATTTTTGGACGCATTCTTGCCGAACGAAACTTTTGCCAACCGAGCCGAACTTTATCCAAACAAGCTGCTCAATCTGCAGCGGCGCACGCTTCGCCTCGGCTCCATTACTTATGTGCCATACACAGTTACTAATTATGTGGTAAGTAATTGCCGGTTAAGTTTATATTTATCGTGGTTGCTGCCGCCAGTCTCTTGCTTATTCCCATTGTTGTTGTTCTTATTGTTCTTGTTGTTGTTGTCGGCACGCCCAAAAGCGCACACAAATGTCGTAGAGATTTGCACGCCGGCATTAAGCAAAGCCAATTGGTCGTCCTCACCAGCCTCGCTCACCACATTGTCCACATCGTTGTGTCCTTGTCGCATTAGGGCCCTGTGCGAAATGGTCATGAATAAATGCCCGGCGGCTGCTCCTCCCCCTTCCCGCTTACCCCCTATCTAAACAATGCTGATCCGAGCGGGTGCTGTGTCTGTGTGTGTTCCGTTTGCTCGGTATGCTGATAGAAAGTTATTTCCTGTTGTGGAATACGATTTCGGTAACTAAAACTTTAACCATTTAATTTTATTGTATATTTCTCTTAGTATGTGAGTCGCAGCTTGTCAGTATTTTTTATGAATTGTCCGGTGGGGAGCATCTCATAGCGCCATAAATCTATTACTAGGCTTAACGTAATCCAGATGATTTTTAATGCAAATATACTCCAGAATTTATTCCATAAATAAGAGTTCATATTGTTTAAAGTTCTGCTGATTTCATTACAAAAGAGAAAACAGAAAATTGTATTTAATTTAAATTGGATCAATTTAAATTGGCTGTTCTTTCTTTATGTATTATTCTAGTTAATACATATTATTATAACATATTTTTATAATTTTTCTTCACAATTTGACCACTGTGCAAACTAACACAAACAAAACAGTTTGTAAAAATTCTTTGTTGTCACTTGCTGAAAGTTTTGTTCGCACTCAATTGCTTGCCTTAAGGACATTCGCACATTTGTAAACACACTCATACCAACAACAGCAGTAAGTGACATACACACACACAAACACACACATGGCCGCAAGCATGTGCATGTGGTTTTGTTTATGGCCGGCTTTAGCACAACATTGATTTAAATTACGTGT